CAACTTCGTACTCAAGTTCGAGAGAAATTTGAATAAAAGTAAAATGATTATAAATGAGATGTCATTTCGGTAATACGTATTCTGTAGGGGGGCTCTCGAAGCGAGATGAGTTTTTAATTTATGACCCACTTCGACGCGTAGACGACAAACTCTTACCTTGAAGTGTGATTTATGGAGATTCTGTGGACGTTTTCGTTCAACAATTTTGAAGTCTGCTCAATATAATGTTGATTAGATGAACTTTGAATAGAAAGTGTGAATTTGCACAAAATAAACATGTTGTATCATTAATCTATATCAGGGGTGGGCAAATATTTTGATAGTAACGGGCCACATTGCAGATGAAAATTTGATCTCGGGCCAAACAGTTTTTTTTTTCTAATTTTATATTGTGCGACTATTATACAATTATACATACTGTAATTGTTCAATTATCATAATTGTATTTTCGAATAGGAGGCGCTGAAAAGAATGGTTGTTCGGGAGTAAATTTTGGCTCCCACCGGCCTTGATAATATGTATCACTATTGCTTAATATTTTATCTAAAAAAATTTATGCACCAATTTATGTTAGACAAAGACTAATATTTGTGTTTTTAATAATAATATATTATGTATTCACGGGCCAGACAAAATTCTACCGCGGGCCGCCATTTGCCCAGGCCTGATCTATATAATATCAAAAAATTGTGTAATATTTTATTGGATACTGGTGGTAGGACCTCCTGTGAGTCCGCACGGGTAGGTACCTCGCCTATTTCTGCCGTGAAGCAGTAAAGCGTTTCAGTTTGAAGGGTCGGGCAGCCCTTGTAACTATACTTGAGACCTTAGAACTCATATCTCAAGGCGAGTGGCGCATTTACGTTGTAGATGTCTATGGGCTCCAGTAACCACTTAACACCAGGTGGGCTCGTCCACCCATTTAAGCAATAAAATAAAAAAATCTGCGTAGCGCATTTTGATTACGTTCACTGTAATATAATTTTATTTCAAGTGTATGTATCTAGCTTCGATCCCCTGTGATATCACGGCTTAAATTGCTTGAGGTAGCGTAATAACGGTTTATCGAAACACAATAGCGTATGCATACACAAATTTAGTCTGTTTTTCTACAAACCCAAAATACACGTTTGCAAAAGCCATATAAAAACATCTTGAAGATTTCGTTACGGTCGAAGGCTTATCGGATGAATTTTCTTTTAAAGAAATCGGTTTGGTATCTATTTAATTGAATATGCAATTTCGAAAAGGGCACATGTCGCATATATTGTCAAATACGTTTTTTCATATACATGTAGTTTTGAGGCTTACCTACACCCATTTTATAATGATTCCAGTAATTTTCGATTTCTAATTAACACTAAAATATATCTCAAAAGTTAATATTTTAAATTTTACACTGCTTTAGAAAATAATCAGTTTTTTTTTCATTTCCTGAACATTTTACATTTTCAGAGATGTGCCCTTTTCGAAATTGCATATTCAATTATGAAATAGATTTCTTCAAAATTTGTCTGATAAATCTGAATTGGAAAACATTCGATGTTTTATTATTTACACGGTAAATTAGTGAGCATCTTAAACCAGACAAGTACAGAATTCACATACTAATCATAAGTAATTGCTCTGATCAGATCTTGCTTCATGAACTTGCAAGCACACGCAAATGAAGATGAAGATTGGTTATTTGAAGACACGTTATTTGATTACCCACCGATCAATGGTCTGTTAGTGACTGTGTTAATGATATTTTTAATTCTAGCATCGCAAAAGATTATTCCTATGTATCTGTATGTGGTATAATCCGATCCAAAGTCATTTAAGTACAAAATATAAATAATAGTTTAAAAAAAACTAAAAAACACGCTTTATATAAAACTCAACTAAAAAATAGAAAATAAGTTTTCATAAATTTAAATTGAAAAAAGTGTAAAAAAAATATATTTTATTTATAAAAAAGCGTGGGGTTCTTTTTAAGGTATTATTGAAATAATAATTCTTCTATTCATATCTGTCAGAAAAATATTTATAACTAATAACACGATGCACCCCACGCTTTTATTAAAATAAAATATATCTTTTTTTACACTATTTTCAATTGAAATTTATTAACATTTATTTTCTATTTTTAGTTGAATTTTATATAAAGCATGTTTTTTAGGTTTTTTAAAATATTATTTATTTTTCATTTTTTAGATGAATTTCAATTTTTTCAATATTTTTTTTAATATTCTATTTTCATCGGTCTTCGATAAATCTACAAAGTTTGAATGAAATCTGGCCGTTTAAAGTGTGTCAAAATCGCGTCTAAAGGAGTCAGTTACAAATATACAAACATACAAACATACATACAAGTGTAGCTAATATAAAGCGTGTAAAAATAAATAAATTTCACAGCGTTATAAAAATGCGAAATGCTTCAAATATACTAATTAACACATCGGAGTTCACACAATACAATCTTTCTATTGTTTTCGTGAACTCTTTTAAGGTATTTCGGAACGTAAACTTTGAGCTTTAAATCATTTTCCACATAGTCCATTTTCCAGTGTTCATTTTTGAACATTTTTAAACAAAAGTTATGGGTCAAACTCGTTTATATTATAAATTACGATATATTTTTTGCGTTAATTATTTTTTTTTAAGCATAATTCTAGTTATTATGAGAGGATACCATTATATAACATTATGTTTTCCACACTTTGTGTTTGATTATGTAAATGGTAAGTGATTTTTTTTATGTTGACTAAAAATTACAATTTATTTTGCTTTAATAACGAGCATTTAAATGATTTAACTATTCCTGGCGTTACGTGAAACATTACGATTTCTTTTTTTAAATCAACCAAAAAATGCAGTAGATAACATTACGAGTTACACTTTTGTCAGCTTTTATAAGCCGACGCTCACAGCTGATGACTGATGTTATTGACTATGATAACGGTGACGGTGACCACTTACCATCAGGTGGGCCGTATGCTCGTCTGCCTACAAAGTTAATAATAAAAAAAACACAATACGCACCCCTGCCAGTAGAGATACCAGCAGTACTGAAATGTTACAATATTCCCTTCGAATATTTCGATTGACAGAATTGTCGTTGAACGAATAGGGCAGGGGTTTACTTAATCAGTATTCAGGCCTCGCACGCGAGATGAAGGCATGAATATTATAAAACACATGGAATTGGGACGTCCTTCGGAAATTTCTTTAAGTACTATGTGTTGTTACAGTGCTTTGTGTTTATATTTCCTGGACTACTTTTTTTATTTCTTAGATGGGTGGACGAGCTCACAGCCCACCTGATGTTAAGCGGTTACTGGAGCCCATAGACATCCACAACATAAATGCGCCACCCACCTTGAGATTTAAGTTCTAAGGTCTCAAGTATGGTTACAACGGCTCCCTCATCCTTCAGACCGAAACGCATTACTGCTTCACGGCAAAAATAGACAGGGCGGTGGTACCCACCCGCGCGGACTCACAAGAGGTCCTACCACCAGTAATTACGCAAATTATAATTTTGTAGGTTTCATTTTTATTACACGATGTTATTCCTTCACCGTGGAAATCAATCGTGAACATTTGTTGAGTACGTATTTCATTAGAAAAATTGGTACCCGCCTGAGATACGAACACCGGTGCATCGCTCAACACGAATGCACCGGACGTCTCATCCGTTAGGCCACGACGACTAAGGTATAAGATAAGGTATGCCTTGAACGATATTGTGGCTTAAAGGTTGATCAGTTAATTCTGCCTATTTCTCCTGTGAAGAACTGATGTCTTTACAATTAAGACTCTGTTGTGGCCATTTTAAATGGAATGGTCTCCGTCTGTCTGTAAATACAGCAACAGAATGTTATTGACATTATGCTTAATTCAATTCAATTAAATTTAAAGTGATTTATTTGTCAGAGACATGGTACATTAAATAATGTTATTATAAAATTTTAACATTCTAGCATGTTCTTACTTGAATAGGAAGTGTGCAAATATAAAATAAATATAGAATTAATTGAAGATTACTAACATGTCAATTTATAATATAACATTCATAAATTATAGTAATAAAGAATTTAATGAAATTCATGATCCATTAAAATCATAAAATAAGAGATCTAATCAATTACAAATTAATATCGTTTTTTAAGGCAATTTATGACCTGGCAACTAAGACCTTTAGGTCAAGTCTTATGTTAATTTTAATGAAAACTTTTTTATATGAAAAATGAAATGAAGTTGATTAATATGAAACATGACATGAAATGAAATGAGATAATATGGCATTGGAGGATCCCGAGAAGTTACGTTCAGCTTGTTTTATTTTTCCGTGCACTTTCACAGATACTAAACAGTTAATAAGCCACCGTTATTACACATTGAAACCTGAAGAAACACTAAATAGACAAAATAAAACAAATCACACAACTACACACACCGCGTTCCCGCCAAAAAGTCCTTATTGTCAGCTAAAAATGATTTTAAAATATAATTAAAAATGATTTTTGCATGCAGTACGCGCCGCGCCGTGTGCGACTAAAGACAGCAATAGTTTAGAGTGAGAGCGCATGATCGCCGCCGCCATTTTAGATTCGTTTCACACGTTCTTACGGATCCATCAGATCCAATAACCTTTGCATTAGACGCCTTCAGCTCTAACACTAGGAGCAGGCTTACAGACCCCGGTAACCGTACTCGTCGAACTCGACAAGGAGGTCGACGTGCTACTTAACCCATGCATCAGCTCGCTGAGTTTCTCGCCGGATCCGATCCGGTTGTAGATTCATTCACGAAGCAGCTGCCTTTGAGTTTTTAGGTCTACTTTGGAGTCGCTCGGGCAGCTGTTAGTAAATCCCACCCCTCCTGGCTGAGCCTTTGCTCGCCCACCTGTCCTGGTGAAACTGGAAAGGTCTCCGGGCCACCAGTAATCTTTCAACCATAAAAAAAAGATTTTTTTATTAATTGGCGCGGCTTATAATAATGATAGTGACGTGCAGGTGAGGTGGAGACGAGTGATGTCCTGGGGTGCGCGCTAGATGCTCTCGGGGGCGATCCTGTGCGCAGCGCCGGCGTCCTTGCGCGGGCTGGCCCCCGGGCTGCCAGCGGCGCGCCCGGCCCTCCTCGCCGCCCTCGTCATGCACGCGCTACACGACCATCGCATCGACGATGACTCCAGCTTCGTAGGTGAGTCCCGCCAATCCTACACGCGTATTTTTTTTTTATTGCTTAGATGGTTGGACGAGCTCACAGCCCACCTGGTTTTAAGTGGTTACTGGAGCCCATAGACATCTACAACGTAAATGCGCCACACACCTTGAGATATAAGTTCTAAGATCTCAGTATAGTTACAACGGCTGCCCTACCCTTCAGACCGAAACGCATCACTGCTTCACGGCAGAAATAGGCAGTGGTATCTACCCGCGCGGACTCACAAGGACTCACGATGGCTTACACTAATAAATCACGCTTAGTAAAGTAATGAAAAGTAAGTCACTAGTAGACCAGTGGACGAGAATACACCGACGATTATGTCCTCAAAAATACTTGTTACTACGATACGTCATACATTTTGCTATATATTATATATTTTTGTGTGTTGTATTAAGTAATGTTTAAAGAGAAAATAGAGTCAGTATAATTGAAAGACACATAAATTTTGACTAAACGCGAATACAGTTGGTATTGCAGATAAATTTCTGGAATATTAAGGGAAAAAAAAATGTGACCATTTTATTATTTATTATTAGAATCATTTAAGAAATATTTTGTAAAATATGTATATTCTCAAAACTAATTTGCAACATCGGTATAAAAAAAAACAGATTTCTAGGTGATCGGGAAACGAAATTGCTCGTACAATTGGCGCTAAATTTAAAAAAAGAAAACAAATGTCAAGTACAACTCATAGGTACTGAATTTGAATTATCTGAGTTCGATATTCAAATCTAGGACTAAGGTTTTTTTTCTGCATTAAGCCGAAGAGTTCTAATACTTTCAGTATTACCCTCGTATTGTATTTGAATATTGAAATTATGTGGAATTTGGTATGTAATATGACGCACACCATTTGACGTCATCCGTCATGCGCGTGTACAATGCTTATGTTGCATAACATCATGCGACAAATTAAGATTAAGAATATTTCAATATTGAAACGATAGTCGGCTGAGAAATATTAAAAAATTTATAGTGCCATAGTGTTCACTATGTTTTCTATTCACCCTTCAAATTGGACGCGTCTCTCGGAAAAAGATGACAAGATGGCGGTTTTGAAGTCAATGTCAAAAAAGCATCGAAAATTAACCTTAGGTTTTCCTAAGTCAGGGCCAGAATAAATCAGTAATAACATGATATTTTCGTTTTTATTTCATGTATTAATAAAACCCCAGACAATCGGCTAGGATCGTTGTAGGCACGCGATGTACAGTTGACCTCAGACAGAGGCGAAACTACAAAAGTTAAAATGTACAGATTTTTTACCAGACAATATAAAATACAATTTGTATTAGGTCAAATTGAGGCATAACTTCGAACTCTTCTTGGGATCGACCGCATGTTAAATTCGCGGCAGATAGGTGCAATGGGTAGGTGAGCTCACGGACTCGACCTGAGAGAATTTGCCAATACTAGCCCTAGCAAGAGCAGTGCTTCGCAGAATCGCGACCCATTGAGAAGATCCGGTGAGAAACTCAGTTGGCAAAAATGTAGACATAGACAAAGTATTATTCTGGATTTAATATTTCTTAAAATTACTCATTTGATTATTAATTTTCTAATTTCAAGATGTTGTGACTGTCGATAGTACCTTTAATTAATTGAGGTAATATTTGTCACGTACGTACTGTCGATATGTCAATGTTTTGTTTTAATGATCACTTTGTTGGTGCAACTAAATAAATAAATAAGTCCGAACGTGTCCTATCTTATGTGGCACCATCAGGAAAACAATAATACCCGCTTTATCTATGAGGCATTTTAAAGACACTTTTCGAGTTCTTACTGATCCAATTTTATTGATGCGCAGGTGCTAAATTCTGTTAGATTGTTGCATATTTCAGATTAGAATGATTTTTTTTATATTCTGAATTTTTTATATTCTCTGTTCACTGTTCTGTTAAAATATGTTTATTTATTAATATCAAAATAATAAGTTTAATTTATACTAGCGGCATCTAGTGGTCACAATATGTACTAGTAGTGTATCATAGTCAATTACGAAGAAATAAAGTACTACATTCTCAACCGTCATCTCATTCGTTTCAATAGGTTATGGGCCCAGTGCAAAAGTGTTTCAAATAATTTTATATTAATTCTTATCGTGTATCAGAAAATAAATTATAATGTCGTCAGGTAGTTATTTATTAAATGTGCCGAAATTAAAAGGACGCGAAAATTATGACGACTGGGCATTCGCAGCAAGAAACTTTCTTATCTTGGAAGGCATAGACATCGACGCCATTCCGGTTGATTTGAGTCATGCCGAAGACCGAAAAGCGAAAGCANGCGCTCTGTAAACATTTTACATCCCTTCTCCTCGTGAACATGGATCGGATGGAATGGGGTTTGCGAAATGGGCTATTGGGAGGTGTCGAAGTGCGCTAAATTACCCATTTCCCGTGTAAGGGCCCTAAATACCATAATACCTACATGTTGGGGTGTTTAGATTGTCCTTAATCCCGAAAATGCAGTAGTTTGTTTGGCGTTGAATACATAAAGCGAATTTTCTTCGGCTTTCGAAAGTACCATTAGCTATTTTTTTTTATTTGTTGTTCAAGTCACAGAGAATTCTTTCGTTTGGCAACATTTAGGTTTACTATGAGTGGTGGTCAAGGCTGTATGGGCTAAGCCCTTTGTCTGCCTATTGGCAATTTTTGGCCTCAAGGTAGATACAAGGCCATTAAATAAAAATAAAAATAAATTGGCGAATTTAAAAACTATGAATGGTGGAAGTACTCAGTTTTCGGATGTTATCGAGTAAATAATTTATTTTTTGTAAAACAATGCCCGGGTGACAGAAATGTTGATACATAAACAAAAAAAAAACGTAAAAAAATAAGGCATACTTTTTCAAGTACAAATAGTTTTGACATAAAGTTGGCCCATTTTTGAGCATTGTCCTTTATAACTCATTCAAAATCTTTAGATCTGAACACGTACAATTATATGTTAAATAACGTTTTTGTAATACATTCGGATGATAGAGGCAAGTCGTTGTTTGTCGAATGTAGCGGTGCCCGTCACGCGAGCGTTATCGGCAGACATCTTGGCGTCGCGTATCGCGCCCGCCTCTGACGCAGTATTGTGCATGCGACCTCCTAGCCAACTATGGGCGCCTGGTACTTTTCGCTTTTAATACATTGATGAATGCTTAGTAATTTATTTATTAACAATGTTGATAATTTATAATGAGAACATCTATTTAGAGTTATGAGGACCTGGTACTTTTGATTGTGATGCTTTGAACTTTGATAGTTAAATTCCGTCTAAATGATTTATTTATTTAACAAAAGTTTTATTCTACACGTCAAGTTTGGTGATAATTTCAAACTAACCTAATTAAATTTTATCCTGCAAATTTTGTAATTTATCATTTCTCGTGTTTTTTTTTTAACCGTTATCAAAAAAAATATTTTTGCGTACATTTGCATAATAAGTACGACAAATTTTAAAATAATAACGGTTGTACGAACTACCCATTTATTGTATTAGCTTAAAATGAAAACATAACATTTTACAGTTTGCTTTATAAATGTTTTCCACTGGGCTAAAGTCATAAATGTTTATATTATAAACTAGCTGACCCGGCAGACTTCGTAGTGCCTCAATTGATAAATAAAAGATCGAAACTTTTGTATAAAATAAACTTATAACAAACCAAAGGAATCCGTCCGACGGGGGACAAATCAAAGGGAAAACAAATTGTTATTTTTATTTTATTCTGATCATTTTCATATTTATCATCTTTTAAACCTTCTCTGGACTTCCTTCCACAAATAATTCAAGACCAAAATTAACCAAATCGGTCCAGCCGTTCTCGAGTTTTAGCGAGACTAACGAACAGCAATTCATTTTTATATTATATAGATAAAATTCGTGTTCCACAAAACCTTTGAACGCGCCGTAATAACAGCAATTGTTTAAACATTCCCCAATACGCAACTGAAACCCGTTGAGTACAATCAATTTAATTCGACGTCCACACTGATTAGCTTCACTCACTGGCGACTGTAAATGGCGCCAGTGGACTGCACCCCTTAACATAATTCCTGAAAGCATGACTGGACGTGTTTTCCAGAAGCCAAAACCAATTCTAAAAGAGCGTAACCTTACACATATTTTCATACAAATATCGATTCTAACAGCAACGAGTTCACATTAATATTTTGTTGGTACACAAGATTATGTTCGTAAAGGTGGTTTTCGTGTGGAGTACAACGCGCGTTAAGGGTTTGCTTTCATTCATTACGCGCTCGCGGAGTCTTGAAGTCACGATTTTCATAGTAATTTCGGTTCAATTAATTAGTTGGACGACCTTATCATGTGTCGGCTGGTTTTCTCGGGGTTGTTTGGACTACTGCGTCATAGAATACTGAGAAGTAAGTTAATGCTTTTTTTTTATTGCCTTTGTAGGCAGACGGGCATACGGCCCACCTGATGGTGAGTGGTTACTGTCGCCCATGGACTTCAGCAATGCCAGGGGCAGAGCCAAGCCGCTGCCTACCGCTTAATACTCTCCACAAGCCTCGTTTGTAGAAGGACATGTCATAACGCTCGGGAAACACCGTGGAGGGGAGCTCATTCCATAGCCGGATGGTACTTGGCAAAAAAGATCTCTGGAAACGCACTGTGGATGACCGCAGTGGCTCCAGGTAATGCTTAATTATTACGCAGCGTGTAAAGGAGGAGATCAAATTACCCGACAGGAAAATGTAGATAAAATTGCAGTAAAAACTGTCTGTTATTAGTGCTTTTGTAGTGTAAACAATATAATTCATCAGCTCAATACTCGGGGTCAACGGTCTTGCGTGCGCGTGTACATTGCGCTGTGGACGCATGCCTTTGCGTTGCATTGACGGTTCACAAAGAAAAATAATCTCTATACGCGAAGCAAAAACTTTGTATCCCTTTTTACGAAAATTGCGCGGACGGAGATGTATGAAATTTCCCAGACTTATAGAGAATAT